AGTCTGCTAGGAATTCAGCTAAGACCAAGCAAAGCAGCTGGCTGTTGCAGAGCAGCAAGGACCAAGTCCTGCACTGAACTGAACCTGTAATCTTGAAAGGTAAATTCTGACTTTGTTACCCCCTTGCTCAAGCCATCCTGCCACTGCACACTTCATATTTAAGATACCTCCATCACTATTTTATAAACCATTGGAGGTTTACATGTGTCAATTCATGCTCTACGGTAAGAACCAGGAGGCCGAGAAGTTGACTGAATCCAGATGTTAGAACCACATATTCACATACCATCGCAAACAGCAACAACATGGGCAGGAAGAATAGTGAGTGGGGACAAGAGAGAAAACACCTGCATTCAGATAAGGAGGTGGAAAAGCTGTGCAATGCATAGTCAAGATGCAGGAAGGGGAGAGCATGATTGGATGAAATGGGGGAAGAGAGCAGTTTACAATGCAGGCCAAGGGTGGGCTCTGCTCTCTAAGGGATCAGCATGCACCAATAGAAAGAAGCACAGAGAAGCATGTTCGATTTGGCAAGTCTTCCAGCTGTTCCCTGTCTCCCTCAATCTGTGCTTACAACTCAGATACATTTGGCAGTGGCTGGATATGAGAGTGCTACAGGAACGGCAGCTCTTTCACATAATTTGCCCATGAGCTTCCTCTTCACTGTGCCAAGGAGAAGGCGGACAAAGCTTTGGCTGCTTGCTTTACAGAACTAGTCTAACAGCCGGGCAAAAGGAAGCTGCAGAGAGCCCATCGCGCTTGCAAAACCTCCAGCAGGAGGAGTTTTAGATGGTTCAAAGAGAGCATTCAAATAAAAACCTCCCACAGCCTGAAATTCAGCTCATGCTAATTGAGCACTAACTGCAGGCCTTCAAGAAAAAAGAATCCTTTCCTCCAGTCAGTACTGCTCTGAACATAGCAGAGACCAGAGCAGTATTTACAAATATGTATGTGAGATGTGTGGTTTCACGGTCTTTACTGCTTTAAAGGCAGTAGATAAAATTAGCTTTTGGTTGCAGACACCATTTAGAAGCAGGAGATTGTAGCAGCCTTCAGCCTAAATTTTGATACCCTAGTGTTGAATAATATGCTGCTCTTGTTCTTCTTGGTAGTAAGTTTCAAATCAGTTTTCAAAGGAACTCAAATCTTTGTGTTACAAAGAGACTTAGGCATGGCTGGTGACATGAAGTGGAACCAGGAGCTGAATCAGGTCTCTTGTACCTGAATCCCTTTCCCTGGGTAGTAGACACCACTGCTGCCATTTGCTGCTGTTCTACCCTAATAAACACAGGTATTTTAAAGCATATCAAGAACCAAGGGTATGATGCAGTAACAGAGCCAAGCCCACCTCATGGCTCGCTGCCACTGACCTGCCCTGACTTGCTTGCCGTTACTCAGCTGGTGGCTCTGGGGCTTATTGGAGTTTAACTTGACGAAGAAAGCAGAACATTTTTCTGCTGAGTTAGTGAGCTGAGTTGGTTCAATGAAGTGTTCAGTGAGTACCAGAGCCAGTTCAAGAGACTGGGCCACTTATGACTGGGAACAGTAACAGCTGGGACAGGAACTGCTGCACCTTTCAAGACAGCAAATTCATAGATGAGCTTGACAGCGTTGTCAAATGACACACAGAGTCTTGCAATCTTCCCTTTTGTACTTCAGATACCGGATTCAATGATGTGAGCCACTGTAAAGAGTTCCACTCAGAAGTGGGACACTGCTGAAGATTAGTTAACAAAGGCTGACCTGCATTGTTTGGGTTAGTAGAAAGGGACTAGAAATCAAGTCTTCTTGGAAGGTAGGAATTCCAGGGTCATCAGTCCAGGTGGAAAAATTGGAAAATAAAGATTTTAGTGTCATTTAGGTCGTTCCCAAGAAGCTGCTTTTCTGATATATCTTATTTACTACAGGCCAATCTTCCCAGTTACTCCTGTTATTGCTGGGTAGGAACGGTCTGTGGCAAGGAGGCCTTACAGGTAGCAGTTAATTCCTTTAATTACAGATATACATATTTTCTGCCTCTAATTCAAATGCTGTCCAAGCACACAAGTACAGTTTGCCTGTTTAAAAGCAGTCCATTTCACCTAGAAAACTGCTATTCCCTCTCAAGACAAAAAATCTCCTCACATTCTTTTTAAAGTTCTTTCATGTTGCAGGCTCCATGCAACACCGAGGTACAAAAGTTTTAACAAAATTATATTAAACAAGGACTGTAAGACCTATCATACTTGACACTGAGAAACAAAAATGAAAACAACTGACCCTGAGACATTCTAGGACTTAGCAGAAAAAGAAGTGTCTTCCACCCAGGCTTTTGAAAATCACATTTAAAAAGCAACCAGCTCAGAACTTACCTCTGTGTGATGCTTGACTTAAAAAGATGCCTAGAAGAGGTCTTGTACAATAATGTTACGCACTGGAAGGTTTACACAGAATTTAAATGGAAAGAGTTATTACCGGCATTCGGAGAAAATCACTGTTTCATTACTTTCCGTTTTCCTTCCAATCAGTACTTTCCAGCCACTGCCAGTCTACTGTGTTGCTTTAGGAGTATCTTTCAAATAAGTTCCCAGTGGAGCATCTGATATTTTTCCAAGAAAAGCTTTTGAGACACTGAACGAACAGTCCTTTCAGTACAATCCCTGTGCCCAACAACTTTCTACATAAAAGCCCTCATTATGAATTTTGAGTCAGTGGGGTTTTCTCAGTCAGTGTGTGTTGCTATCAGGCTTTCTTGACCTAGAATTGGTATTTCCCGTATAGCTTGCATGAAGCCCTAAAGCACATTCAAATGCTGTGCAGGCTAATGACTACAAAAGAAAAAAAAAAACAAAAGAAAATCACATTAAAAAATTTGATTCGGAATTGGCAACTCTGTAATCTCTCCCTTAGCTGCCATCTCATTAACATATTTGTTCAAAAGCCTTTTCTCTGCTTCATTACATAATTTGCGTTACAAAATCCAGATAAACACTCATTATTCCCAGGTCTAAATAATGGCTTATTTGGCTTCCTCCTTCTTCTTTTATTTTTCCCACAGAAAAATGGGGGACAGAAAGGGCTTGTTTGGATGGGAAATGAACCACACCACTTTCTGAGTAACATCTGGGACATCTGTTGTGTATGGCATTACAATACATTATGCAAATACTAGTGCATAATTCTTCCCAATACCTGTGCAAAGTAGAAGAATTAATATTATTTTCCCAATTTTACAGACTAAGAAGGTCAGTTCATATTTTCTGCATCTCCTGTATCTCATTGTTCCACACCGTCAGGGTCTACAACATCAGAGAAGAGCCACTTGTGTCATACTGCTGAAAGGGATCAGCTGTAGTAGCAGGTACAAGAAATGCTAGGCCTTCCATGAGAAAATCCTGAAGATACTGGTGTTGGCATTGAAATGAAAAACGTGAAGTTCTGTGCCTTTTTCTCTTTAACTTATATTTCTTCTAAAGTTCCCTATGTAAAATGTAGAGCTGTATGACCCCCAGATGAGGCCCAGTGACAGGCAGGACCTACTGCACCTGGGGCCTCTAGTGCTGTCGGTCAGTCCCAACCATGACAGAATATCACCAGGGAGAAAAGGCAAAGCTGGTTAATGCAGGCTGGAGATTTCACCTTGCACATATTTAGATACCCTGAAGTGGTCCGAGGGTCACTGGGGAAACAGTGGGGCCTGGGAGTGGCTGAGCAGCCACGTTGTGGGGCTTGGTGATGTGACGCTGGAGGATCAATGCTGGGTTTCTCCCACATGGTGTTTTTGGGCAAATTTCCTCTCCACTAGCTGGCTGTTTTTGTCTGAGTGGGACAGCATTGCCTAGGGGAGGCCACGATGGGTTTGTGAGGCTGGATACTACCGTGACCACCATTCCAGAGGTGGAGGGGGCTGCAGCATACCCCTGCCCTCCCTGCTCACTGCAAACCACCCCTGCAGCTAGTCAGCCTGGATGGGCTGAGAGAACAATGGCCGGGCAAGGGCTGCGGCCAAGCGGACACCAGCCGTGGTGGGGCGCAGGGCAGCTGCCAGCAGAGCCTGCTGCCTGAAGGCAGCACTCCTGGGTTTGGACCACAGTGCCTGAGGGTTTTTTTCATGATGCTTCCTCTTCCTCTCTGCTGGCCCCTGCCCAGACTGCAACCTGGTAGACTGCAATGTTACGGTTATCAGTAAAATACCATCAAAGGTGAGTTCACAGGCAGGGCTGCCACGCTCCCTGCAGGTTCCTCTGTGGACAGGTGCTGGTGCTACACCTGCACAACACACAGCACAGGTGCTGGGCAGGAAGGTGTGATGGGGCCTGAGGGCTCCCCACAGCCATTGCCACTCCAGGCATGGAGGGGAGATGGTGGCAGGAGAGCTCCCCGCAGTCCTCTTGGGGAAGCAGTGGTGAAGATGGTGTCCTGCTACCTCTAATGTCCCTGAGGCGCTGGCGGGCAGGCAGCTTGCCACAGCCTGCTGCCTCCCTCCTCAGGGAGCCACAGGCTCACTTGGCTCCTCAGCAGGCATCTGCAGTGGGTGGGAGAGTGTGGACATAGAATCATAGAATCATAGAATGGTTTGGGTTGGAAGGGACCTTTAAAGGTCATCTAGTCCAACCCCCTGCAATAAGCAGGGACATCTTCAGCTAGATCAGGTTGCTCAGAGCCCCGTCCAACCTGACGTGCCTGGGTGTTGGGGGGTAGAGGCCAGCCAGGTCAGCCAGCCCTGCTGCAGTGGGACAGAGGAACACCTCTGCCCCCAACTGCTTCAGGCAGCTCCAGGTGGCAACCCAGCCTGCTGCATAAACCAGCTACTTTAAATTAAACTTATTTGGGAAAGAAGGAAACTGACACCCCGTAGTTCCTTTAAGGACTAGCAAACTAATCTATATGTGGAACTCGCACTGAAGACTAATACTTGTCTGGCAATGCTGCTGTTTCTCCTTTAAAGAATTTTTGGCTAAGCAGCTGTTTGGGGTGGAGTTACTGCAACAGAGGCTTTCAGTTTCGTTTTTTTTTTTCCTCTCTGCTCTTAGAAGAAAGAATATCCAGCAGAATAAAAAGAAAAATCATGACAGAAGAGAGCAGGTTCTGCAAAAATTGGTAAGAGATCTTTCTCCCTCTTCACCCCTACAAACTGTGGGGATTTCAAGAGTTTTCTAGGATTTTCCTTAACGTTATCTAGGTCTCCTGTAACAGGGGGAGAAGAGGAAGAACCACACGACAGGAGGGGGGTACGCTAGCCATTGAGTAGTAAACAAAAATATTTTGTACGCATTTTCACATTTCCAGCTTGCTGCTTTCTTGCTACTTTGCTGTGGAGAGGTTTCTTCCATAGCCCTCCTCCGATGCTGCAATATTCTCTTACATAATATCACTGTGGGTAATTTTGCAGTATCTGGCAGAGGAGTCAGTGCGTGGACCATGCCAAACCCAGCAGCTGCATCAGTTTCCCCCCATGGCTGATGTTTCTTTTTGTTGCTATATTTGCAAGTTAAGTGATAAAATATTCATTTTTTTTCAGAGTAATTGGCCATCTCTCATAGAATAGAAGCCTGAAAGGGGCCATGAGACACACCATAGCTTGGTGTGTCTCAACTAGTAGCTAGGCCATTGGGCAAATTATATGAACAAAGACTGTGAAGCACTGCAATTAAAAAAAGGAGTCAAACTTAGAAAGGTTAAACGTGAGCTTAGCCTCAATTTGATTTGGTCACAAAGGAAAACCAATGCTTAGCCTTGCACAAAGAGAACCTGTGCATTATATTCTAAAAGGTTGTAGGGGATGCTTTGAATAAAGCAGTTGCTGCACACTGATCAGACTCCTTGGCAGACCTACTTTGCCTAAAACTTCTCATAGATGCTTCTAAACAATTCTTAAAAACTCTGGTGACAGAGATGACACATTCCCACAGGAAATCCACTCCATTGCTTATCCATCATGATCATGAGAAGCTTCTCCTCATGTTTGAAGCAGATTTCCTTGAGGCAACTTACCTTCTCTAAGAAAATTAGAAGAGTTCACTGCCCCAGGGCTTTTTTGCTGTGGCTGCTCTGTCTTGCGGTTGGGCTGTTCATAATTTATGTGGCCTCATCATGGCCATTCCCTCCACATTGAGCGACCAGCAAATATGTTGGGCAGACTGGTTCTGTGGCCCAGACATGATGTCAGAGTTTGGAACAAAGACTAGTGCAGAAAGCCCAGATGGCATCAGCTATTCTGCCTCACGCATTTCCTCGAAGTAGCAGAGCTGGAAGTGTACATGTCCTTTCAGGCAGTCTTCCTACTCTTGTAGGCCAGAAAGGTTGCATGGGCTTACCTCCAGCTGCCACGTCCTAACGACCATCACTCTCTTGTGTCAGGCATCAGTATCTCCTGCTGCAGGGTCCTGGGCCCACTGCAGTAAAGGCTTTGAAATGACAGGGATACACCTCACTGCCTGTTGCCTGGTGCACTAATGTCTCTGAGCCTGAAGTGAGGGCAGTGAGGCAGACATCCTAAGATGGGTCCCATGGGATCAGGGTCCCAGGCCCTGCTGGCAGAGGAAGTCAGAAAATCAGCTGGTATGCACATCAGTCATCCCAAAGCTGTTTCAAGAGGAGCAATGGAAGTTTCACACTGCTTAAGGTTTGCACCTGGAAGCTTCTTCAGGAGGTCTTACCCAAGTCCTGTTGAACTGTATCTCGTCACTAATGTTGTGAACACATCAATTACTGAAATCAAACAAGTGATTTCCCAGATAAACTTAAGTGGCTCTTCCTGAACGCACTGAGCATAGTGACATCTGTGTGTCTCAGCTCCGAGGTAGCCTTCATCTGAACAGAGCAGCTGCTTGGCTGGGCTACCTTAAATTGGTCTGCTGGGAGTCAAAGAGCTGTAAATTTTGTGACGCCTTAGATGACACCCAGAAGAGGGGCCCTTCTTTTCTTTCCGTATCTGCAAACAGTGTAAACAACAGCCGGAGCTTTTCCTGAAACAATTGTTGGACAAATATACCAGGATCCTCCAGCAGCTGCCCTGTCCCTTTCAAAAGTTTTCCTGGTAATATGGCAGAAGAGAATGAGAAACAGAATCCAGTCTCTAAATGTCTCATTAAGATGAATTGGAAAGACAAATACTTACTTTCAGTTTTTAGGGACAAACTAGTTAAATTGTAACCAGTTGTACTGGGTCTGGCTGGGATGGAGTTAATTTTCTTCATAGCAGCCCCTATGGTACTGTGTTTTGTATTTGTGGCTAAAACAGTGTTGATAACACACCAGTGTTTTGACTTTTGCTGAACAGTACTTGCACAGTGTCAAGGTTTTCTCTTTTTCCCCACTCTGCCCCCCCCTCAGTGAGTAGGCTGTGGGTGAGCAAGAGTTTGGGAGCTGACCCAAACTGACCAAAGAGATATTCCATACTGTATAACCTCATGCTCAGGAATAAAAACTGCATTAGAGGAAGAAGAACAGGGTTGGGTTGGGGTTTTTTTGCTTCCAAGGTGGCTATTGTTCCAAGACTGGTTGGGCATAGATATGCCTGTGGGAGGTGGTGAGTGATGCTTCACAAGTGGGTCTTTTGCTTCACTTGTTTCTACCCTCCCCCCCTTTCATTCAAGTATTAAACTGTCTTTATCTCAACCTACAGATTTTTTCACTTCTGTTCTTCCTATTTCCCCCCCCTGTTCCACTGTGTGTGTGGTGGGGTGGTGGTGAGTGAGCAGCTGTGTGGATGCTTGGCTGCTGGCCAGGGTCAACCCACCACGCCAGTTCATTTACTCTTCTCTCTTTCTCATTTATGTGCTCGGTAGTAAACGAGATGTGTCTGCTGCCAATTTCTCCCTCCATGAGGCCCACTGCTTGCGGTTTCTCACTCTTTGTCCAGAATGTGATGAACCAGTTGCCCAAAAGGATATGAAAGACCATCAAACAGAAGCACACAAGCAGGTAAGGAATGCTACACATTCTTCAGGGTTTTCTTGCAAATAGCAAAAAGCTCTGCCAGCCCTGAAGTAGTATGTTCGTGGTACTGTGCTCTATATTAACTAGAGTTGAACTTCTGTAATTGTTTGACCAGAAAATCTGTAAGGGTCTGATATGACCCTTCAGGCCTGGTCACAGCACCTTTTGATCTTAGTGCACACTCAGCTTAAGAAAATAAAGCTTCCACTGTGGTATCTCAGTTTCCCCAGCAATACAAATTACAGATCAGGTATGGATACATACTCCTAGTGCTTGTGAATTAGCCAGAGCATGCAAGTTAAATGATTTAATTAGAGGAAGACAGACAGTACCTGATCTGACATAAGCCTTGCTTGTACAAAGCTATGACATCAATGCACTTTTTTAACAAAACTGAACTGGCAGAGTAAATTTATCAGCTCTTCATATAGTGAGGCAATAGCATTTTTAGTATAGTGTTAAGAACCCTGTAGCTAGAGGTACTATACTGAAGCATGAATATACAGGCATGACTTTTTATTCTGTCTTACTAGTTTTATTGTTTTAGCAGTTCCATTGATTTCAGTTACTTAACAGAACACATGAGTAGCTCTCGTGGCAAACCTATAGAAAACTAGCATACCTCCTATGTTTTCAAAGGGGCTATTATAATTTAGACTAGCTGAATATCAGACCTATACTTTTAAGTTAAACCTCAGTCAAAATTTTGAATACACCCTCTTTATTTCACATCACACTTTGCATTTCACATGGGCACCTTTGAGAACTGGACCCTCGCACAGAATGACAGCTTCCTGCAGAATCATCAGATAACTGTTTTCCTCAAATTCTCATCAACACGGCTCAGGCCTGACAGAGAAATAAAAATTCACGTGCAGCTTGTTTGGGATGAAAATGACAGGAAGATCATCTCAGCAGCTTGAAGTTGTATTGACATATGAAAGCACTAATCATCCTCCTGTGCTCCCAATGAACTGCTCTATGTTTTGCTTGCAGGTCAGATGTAATCTTTGTCACCAAAGCATTCAGCAATACCAGTTGGAGCATCATGAGGTAAGTATGGAGTGCAGTACTTTTTACCTTCTAGGCTGACCCCTTTTACCAGCCACTAAGAGTCACACTAATGGGTTCAACAGCAAGAACGTGTAAATCCCTGACTCCTGTCCTGGACCATGAAGAAATTTAAACCTCTCAACAGTTGCAGTGTTTTGGCATACCTTTTCCCCCTTGTAAATAAGTATATCTCATGGTGGTTGCCCATCCAGTTGTGATGGGACAGTCTGTTCCAGGGGATAATCTATTACTTTCTCATCCTTGGCACCTCAAGCTGATATTCTTTGAGGGCTTCTCAAAGACATTTCCGTCCTGCCCCCACACTCACATTACTTGCTTTTCCAAAAGAGTGGTTATACAAAGCGCGAGTCAAGGAAACAGCTAAGGAGGAGATACACAAAAGAATTTGCAGCGGCTGGGAAGTGAGAGCAGCCTGTCCATGCTAGCTGTAGTCTAACCATTTCAAGGAACCAAAGCAGTGAAGACACAGCAGGCTTCCCCTAGTGGTGGTAGCTGAAGTACTGGAATTTTCTAGGTGGGCTTGTGCTCTGTTGCTAACCTGTACTGACACAGAACATCTTCACTGCTATTGATTCCCATTTTGCCTTATATTGCTGAAATCATCCTAAATTAATGATAGCCTAGGTAGGCGAACTCCTAATACAGCTAAGCCTGCTTTTGGTTGTGTAGATACCCCTTAAGGATGGCATTCTTAAACTGTCACTCGTTGCTCTCACCCAATGCCCTCTTTTAGTATTGATAGAAAATTTGCAATAATTTCATCTGTTCATGTGCAGACCAAGGAATGCTACAAACGAGCAATGAAGTGCAAGATCTGTGAGCTTGAAATGCCCTTCAACAAGCTGCAGGAACACCTGAACACCTGTGCCAGCCGAACAGAGTGGTGTTGGGAGTGTAACAAATACATCATGTACAAAGACCAGAACAAACACAAAGATATTTGTCAGAACAGTGCCCTGTCCTATCATAAGGATGTGAACTTTCAAACTTTCAGTGAAGCATCCACTAATGCAACATTTATTTGCCCCAATGGTAAGCAAAATTCCTCATTGTCATGGACTGGGTCAACTCTGTTAAATCTCAGTGAAAATTCTCCTGCCTTCTCTACAATTCCTGGTAATCCAGGATAGAGGGGATTGTTGTTTAACCAACCACAGTGAAAGGGCCAAGTGTTGCTTTTTATTATGCTGGTTATTGTAAAGCCAGAGTGGTTCCACTGACTGGTAGCTCATTGGCCATGTTCTTTTATGCCTGCCTTATATCCTGGAAGTGAAATTTCTTCTGTCAGAAAATAAGTGGCACTTCTTCCTCTTTCTATGTGTCGCACAGGAGAAAATATGATTTAGAATTTCCTCCTACTTCATATATAAAGCCAGTGATGCACACCTTGATTTCTTGAAGTTGAGAGCAGCTTTATTAGGTGTAAGGTACTGGACAGAGTATGTCAAGACAAAAAATTCATGAATCCTGTCAATGATTCCAGAAAAGAACAGGCAACAGTAGGTACAGTGGTTGGCAAAATAAACTATAGAGAGCAAAACCCCCTAGCAACAGAATTAGCTAGGCCAGGGTAGGAGTGAAGCATCTTGAGCCACAAAACATGGGGCTGGAGTAGAATTTCAAATATCCTGAAGTTTACGAGAAGAGATGATGGATTGGTTTTGAGTGGTGCCAAAAGCAAAATGTAGTCTCAGCTCTAATTCCTTCTTGGCCAGTGGAATCAGCATTCTGTGTTTCTCTAGAACCAGTGACCATAAGTGGATCTGAGCAGCCTGTCTAGATGACTAGTGTCAGTACTGTGTTTCTCTCAATTTTTTTTTTCCTTCTGAAGGTACTGGTGGCAATCTTTGTCGGAAGTGCAATAAGTCATTCCCAGATGACCAGTACTCCCAGCATCTGGTAAGCACATTTGAAACTGAACAAGAGAATGGTCTGCGCTTAATTTCTTGCCAGGTTAGTTCTCTGAAAAGCTCTATATTAGGTAAGAAAGGGCAGTGTGTCTTGGCTCTTCAAACTATAGTTTCATGATACAATGTATTCAGCTGAAGCATCACTGTGAGGTGGTGTTCACTGTCCCTCCCCATGACTCATGTCTGTCACAAATCACAGCATACCACACAGTTGGGTGTAATGCCAATCTTCACTTTATTATGCATGCTCTCTTTTAACAGAATAAATGCAGTGTAGCCCATAAGATGACAAAAGTTCTTGCTGGCCAGTCAACTTCAAAACTCAGCAGTAATCCACCACAGTCTTCTTCCTCCCTGGCTCCCTCTTCCTGCTCTGAGAATGCAATGGTGTGGAAAGATGTCCGTCCCAAAGGGAAAGAAAGGGACCAGCCATTGACCTCCAAAACCTTGCTTAAACCCCCAAAGGACAAAAAGGTTGGCTTTCGCTCTCCCACAAGAGGCGGACTTTCCACATCACCTCAAGCTCTTAAAGACACCCAGTCTTTTGACATGCTGGTGACCTGTGCCCATTGCAACATTCTTCTGCCACTTCCAACCCTTCAGAAACATGAGGTGAGAAATGACACATTGGAGTCGGCCTTCTACATGCAAAGGGCCATACCTACAGAGTCACTACTTATCTCCACACCGCCTGGGGTCCTAGTGCCCATTTCTGGATTCCGTAGCTTCTTGAAATGCTGGCCATAGGTACACTCTCTCTGTAAAGCATGGAATTTGTTAATTCCATTGACTATTTATGCTCACATCTACACAAACAAGATCCATTGCCTATAGTCTGCTTGAGTTTTAGGAAAATAATAACCATGACTCAAACCATTAATTTTAAGCTCAAATCCTGGAAAGTCTTCAGCAACTGCCCTTATTTGCTAAAGGCTGATACTGTTCCTGCTAAGCAAATAGTATGATTATATCTCAGCTGCATCAGAGATGGAGCTCTAGATAATTTTCCATTCCAACAAAGGGGCCCAGTTGCCTCCCTACTGAATATGATTGCATGTTGAATATAATGTTAAATTATCCTCCGACATAACCGTTCCTTACTTTTCTAGATCAAATGTCTACGTTTGACATCTTTGAAAAATGCTAGGATGAAACAAAAATCAAGCCATGGAGAAAAAGGTACTGCAGAATTTCAGAAATTTAGAATAGAATAAATCATTCGGGATTATTCTACATTGGGTTAGTAGGAACAATGGGATATTTTGCAGAGGAAGTGCATCTAGAAAAGCTAATACTCAGAATATCACAAAGCTCTCCAGATTCCAACACACAGTGGGTTCCCATGAGGTTGTGTTAAGCAAGCATTGCTTCAGAGCCAGTATGTTTTCACTTTCTTGACTCAGAGTAACGCATATTGTGCCTCTCAAATTATGCTACTATGAACAGTGCAGTACCTTCCCTACTGTAAGCAGAGATCAGCACAAAAGATTTCACAGAACAGATGTTTGTCCCAGGTCTGTCTGTCTGTCTGCTCCAACACTGAATGGAGACTTAAAGAATAGTTTCAGAAGACAAGAAGTAAAACTATTTTTTCTCCATAGTAAAAATTGCATATTCAGTAGAAGCATTGATATAATTATGCCAGATAATACCTCCAGTTGAGCTTGCACTGATCCACAGGCAGTAAGTCAGTCTCTTTCCTCACCCTGTCCCAGACAGGCTGTGCATCTTAACACTTCTCTCTTTGCTAACATCCCCCTCTGCTTTTCAGTTCCTAAGCAGTATCGTTTCCTCTCAGTCCAATTAATTAAGTGAAACTGAAAGCCGTTGTTCTCAATCTGTCCTTTTTCTACTTGGTTCAGTAAATGAGGTATTGCTTCTCCCTGTAAAACTTTCCTCTCCTGGTAAATTAAAGAGAGAAAACACCAAAGTGAGAAATAGGGGGTTTGTCTAGTTTTGAATTACAGGACTCTAGTCTTGAAATAAAAGTAAGTACATGGTAATTACACAGATTATTTGACTTGCATAGTGTGTTTTTTATATTGTTCAACTGAGTGATGACATAGGGAGGCTGTAAAACTGAAACTTTAAAAACAGTCATAACTGGGCTTTGTTTGTTTTACAGAAGACTTTCTACAGCATTCATGACTAAATCTGAAAATAGAGGCATGTCTTCAGATTGAAGCTTCAGCTCAGCTTTAGCAAAAGGCACTGAAAGTGTGATAGCTTTATTGACAAATAAAAGTGGCTTGCTACTACAAAGAGTGACTCAGATTTTTTTCCTTATCAAGAGAGGCATTTAAAAGGTTTTACCAGAAAACTGTAAAAGTGATGGGGGCTCAACAGCTGTTCTAATTTCAAATATTTCTGTGTAAGCTTGCCTTAGGAATGTACTTTTTCCACCCGCTTCAGCAAAGAGAGCAGCTTATTTAAAAATGTTTGTGCTGGAGGAGAGAAGGAAATAAGGAATTCAGAATTCTTTGTCATGTTGAGCGCCACCAATTCCCCTTGTCCTCACTGAGAGCTGAGACCTTAGTGTTTTTCAGGGCATGGCCCACTGAAATTAAAAAACATTAAATCCTGCTCTCCTTCACTTCAGTGAACCACTGAACCTACGGCTAGCACAAACAGCTTAGTCTCGGGAGATTGCAGACAGATCCAAGGACAACTGAGGGTGTTCATCTTCTGATATAAATGGAAACTGATAAGGCCCAATGGTGGAAAAGTTAAACATGAAAAGTGAGTGGATGCTTTATGCTAATATCTGTGAACATTTATGAAGCAGCCTTTGCTGCTTGGCATCGTACATCAATAAGCACCAAAACATGTTAACAGAACAGTTTTACTATAAGGTGCCATTTTACTCTCATCCACCTTTAGCAGTGTTCAACCTTACAAACTGATAGCTGGAGTACATATGCTGACCTATAATTTGAGTAACATCTTACTTCTCAGATCCAAACTTGTTGATATCTGCGTCATTTATGCACAGGCACACATGGGATGTGAAGTCAGGCCGAGTTCATGAACTCTCTCAGTGATTCAGCAAGGACCCAGGCTTGTTTATGCATATTGTAGGCATATTAATATGGGCAGGACTGAGCTGAAACGCACCAATGGATGTTCCAAGAGTAGATACTTCCAACCACTGGGCTAGTGCCAGCATTGTGAGTGGGACAGTGGCTGGTCATGTGGCCTGACAAGTGTCAATGACTTCTGAGGCTCCCTCAACCTTTGCAGCATAGACACTGTAACAATCAACAGCTTTTCCTACATGCGTTCAGACCTCATTAATCTGAATCTGAAAGCCTGCTACTCAAAGTCCAAGAGTACATAACTTCACACCCTGTCTGTCCCAGATGTTTTGCTGATCAGGGTCTAGTGAATTGCATTTGAACGCTTGCAGGACTACTCTGGCCACATTTAAGAAGGGATTTTTCAAACGCAATCTAAGACAGTGCTCTCACTGAGGTTTATTTTAAGCTTTTAAAAAATTGTTCTGAACTTCTGGTAAGCAAGTCTAACATTGAACATGGTGCTATGAAACAGAATTTTCTGTATTTGGGGGCAGAGGAAAGGGCTGTGAAAGCATGTCCATTAAGGCCCTATCACTCCATGCATAAATTCATCCTCTTTTATTCTGCACTCATTAGACTTTCACATAGTTTAGTAGTCTTATTATTCTTTGATACACATCACAGCAGTGGACTTGATGCATCTCCACACAACCATAAGCTCTCTCACTCTGTTGTGTATTTTGGGGTCTGTATAGGTTCCAGCAAAGCTGGACTTAGCAGGCCTCCCAGGAACTCTTTCTTTATTGTTCTTCAAAGTCTGTTTGAAGAGGGCTGGTAAACATAACATGGTCTGAAGAGAGTCCACAGTAAATGAGTAAACCAAGTTTGGAGACAAACTGGGCAGGCAGCTCATGCTCCACTATCTATATCTTTATACAGAGAAAGACAGGAAAGCTTTTTCATCCCTTTTGAAAAGGAACTTTGAAAACTTTACTGCCCAAATGCAAAGGAAGATGCTTCGCACCTAGAAACAGCCCAATTTACCAGACAGGACAACAAATGGGCAGGAACAGGCAGGTAAGGGGATGGTGCTTGCACCAGTCCTGTTATCACAGGACAGCTGCAGGCTAGCGCCACGCTCCGTCATGGGTTAGCCTGACAGCACAGGACAGCCATGGGGTCACATCTTGTACTGTGAGACAGGAACCAAAGTGGCTGTGTCTGAAAAGTGTCACACAACTTACATTAGAGCACAAGGCCAGTTTTATCCTTACAACCCTTTTTTGGGGTAGGAGTGTGTGTGAAGGCCTAGCTTATTGAAGAAGTGGTATTTCCTCTCCTCTAAAAAGCACAGTGCGCTTATTTCAGAAATCGATGCTGCAGTGTCATCGTGTGGCTTTTTGTGGTACTGGCATGAGCTAAACCACGTCATGGCTGGAGACCTGGGCCTTGGAGGGAGGAGGAGTACCAGGTGCTGCCTCACCAGCGTGTCGGTCCTGCTCCCAGGCTGCGCAGCAGCACTTCGTGGTTACTGTATTGCTCCGAGGCTACACAGACTTTGGCACTGTTACCATTCAGTAATTAATAACTTCAGGCTCCCACCTAGGTTAAAGACAACAGCATCTGGATAAAGAGACCAGCAAGCCAAGTGTCCAAGGACTGTAGCACTCCTAAAGTCTTCCTGTGGCATGCTTTGGTGCCCTGTGTGCAGACATGAGAGTTAGCTGCTAGGATTTTGTCTCAGCAAGAAGAGAGCCACTTGTGAGTCCCCAGAAAATTGAAAATACCTCTCTGAAGGATCTTGAAAACATCTGAAAACAATCTGACTCCTTCCTTTTCCCAAGGTGAGGAAATGGCTGTTACAGCTACATCAAATGTTACCCTGGTCCTGGAGGAGCTGTGCTTACCCTATCCAGCAAGGTGACCCCTGTTCCCAAGCTCTGTGAGCTCCCTGGGGACAAAACAAGGCTATTCATTTTTGCAGAATGACCTCTTTCTAAATTGCCGAGCTCTAGAGGGAGGGTAAAGGACCTGTTCATTTGCAGAGACAAAGGACTGTATGAAAGCAGCAGTGGCCTACACTTACTGCAAATCTGAGGTTGAGGATCCATATGGGATATGGATAGCATAGCACAAAGTTAAGGGTGAGAAGCAAGCTTCCTTTGTCTTTTGCTCTTGTCGGTTTCAAATTTCCCCAGATTTGCAATCCAGTTTGGTGTGGAAGTGGAAATAGCTTTGGTCACTAGATGGCAATAAAGAATCAATGTGCTCTTCCCTGTTCAACAGGGAAAGTTTGTAAGAGCTTGGCCTAGATTTGCCCTGGGAGAAAGAACTGGAAGATACTAGAGAAACTGTGAAAATAAGTGTGCAAACATTTTGCTTGGTAATGAGGATTTGTTTTGTTATTGTCTCTTTCTTAAAAAAAAATTAGATAGGTTGTATTTACCAAGCAGAAAATGATTATCAGATTAAAAGTATAATTCTGAGTAAGAAAAGGAAGCTCAGCCTCACCCAGACAGGTACTCAGAGAATATGGCATCATACTCCTGAAACACCCCTGATGTTTCAAATACACTGGGATTTCAGTATTTCACCCTGAAGCTTAAGACACATTTTTATTCTTTAGCAGTGTCAGGAGGCAATCCATTTCTGTATGACCCTCTTTCCCCAGTAAAAGCTTACCTACATGCCTCTCCATACATTTTTTTTTTGAACAATCTTTTTGTCATAGTGAAAACTTTAATACAAATCTATGACATACCAGAGTGAAGCATACCTTGTATTTGTCTGTTTCCTAGGTGCTGTATGCTGGTGGCTTCTCCTCCACTACACTGTGTGCTGTGTGTATCTTAATTTTGCTTGAAGGTTAATCTCATTTGAAGGCAGGATTTTTGTGCGTACAAAAAATTGCAAAGCCAGCTGGCATATCCTACTCCCATATACTGTTGTGATTTGAAAGCAGTGTTATGGGAAGCAGAAGGAACTAAATGAAGAAATTAAACTGACAATATACCCTGCAGTGAGCTGATGGGGAGAAGCTGAATGACCTATTTTTGGATTTGCCCACTGCTGCTTCTCAGTGGTTCTATTGCAAAGGACAATGCGGGATCTCAGTGCTTATTGCTGTCTTCTATGGGATGTGGTTTTTCAACAATCCAGAGGGTAAAAGTCGTCTGTGAAGAGCCAACACAAGGGCCCTATACCACTTCAGCATGTTTAAAGAAAAAATAAGCAGCATATTTTGTACAAACCATACACAACTATGTAACCTGCGTAGTACCTCATGATTGACAGCTCTTCGTTTGCTATTGAAGGGCTTTCTGGGTTGCTTGAATTGAGTCACATTGGGATAAAACTTGGCAGAAACTTGAGCCCAACTATTTTTTTGATTATTTAGAAAAAACCCACAAAAACTAAACGAAATATTAGATAGATGACCCGGACTGGTCATCTCCTATAGTATATGAACATTTTTCCCAGCAATTCAGAAAGAAATGCAGTAAAAGTGCAAGTAAACAGTGGGGGAGATTATGAAAAGTAAATGAATTGGGTGACTGCCAGTAATTTCAGAGCTGTGTATTTCTTTGATTTCAGAAAGGCACATTTCCCACAGTCCACAGGCCTACATGTTGTCTTTGCCTGGACGTGTGCAGAAGCGGTGCAGCTACTTAGATCAGTTCTTATTAACAGCTGTCAAGAACAATCTTGTTCCCTGGAAGACAGAAGAACATGTTAAAAGGATAGCAGCCTTATATATAGCTGTGCATCCTTATGTGTCATGCCATTTCGTTCTTGAGGCGTTGCTGGCAGATTTCTCCTTCGATTTAATGCAAACTCTTTAATGCAGGCCCCTTACAAGGAGTGGGTAGGGAGCAGGTTGATAAACATGCCAGTCAGTCAGACCAACAGCTTGGTTTGAAAAGAAAAAAATCAATAACATTTTCTTGGCTTTGTAAAAAGGTGGCATTTCATTTCTGCACCATAAAGTATAATGATAACATCAGTTGTGACTGATGATTGCAAAGGCTTGGCAAGCCCATGGGAGATAGCTATTGGAAAAATGTTCAAACTGGCTGTTGGGAGGTTGCACTTGTACCCATCAGTGTGAGAGAGGCAGCTGGAGGTCTGTGGTGAATTCTTCAGCGGCCAACTGGACTAAAGATATGCTTAGCCCTTCTCAGAGTTACCCTGAGACCAAGCCTCAGTGCAGCTT